TTTTTTTTAGTTAACAACAGGAAATACAGCAGAAAATTTTAATTTTTCCCCTTTTGTTATTGTTTAACAAACTAATAATAATTTGTGTTTGATTGACAAATAGATGCCTGAATTACATTAAGTTAATTACTTTGTTAATAATAAAACTATTTAAGCCAAATATCTATTTTAAAAAATGCCATAAAAATACAAAATTTTACATTTGCCTAAATATATTTTTTACAGTATGCTAATATTGTGGCAGTTTAAGCGCTCAGGCTGCAGTAATTAGACGGTTAGAGCTTCGTTTCGCCAGGTGGCGCCATGTTGTTGGCGCTTCAGGAGACAAGTGAGCGGGAGAGACCGACTGACAGGAGCTAAAACGACACGTTTTCGGTACTTTTATGGGGGGAAAAAACCAATCAGGTGGTAAAAAAAAAGAAAAAAGAAATTAGTGGTAAATGTTGAAACTGGTCCTGGGCAGCCAACGTGAACGATACTGCTAGCTGCAAGCTAACCTTAGCTTCTGCTCACAAAGTTGCCCAAAAAGAAAAAAAGCATAAACTTCAAATTTCGCTCAAGAAGGCTGACAAAGAATCTGGTGCTGTTTTGAAAAGGAGTTTTTCAAGGAGAAAGTAAGTTTTTTCTGGGAGTTTAAGTGGTCTTGAGAGGACCAAGTGATCATGTTTCAGAGGAACTACCGCAACCTGGCCGTGGTGACACATGTGGTGAATGATGGTAAGTCTGACTCCTATTATTCTCTCGGCTTCGTTTAGCCCGGGTTTACATTACCGTCTAATCGCTTACACCTGCTTATGCTTCGTGTTTTAAACAGACATTGTGAATGATATTGCCTTAACATTGAAAATTAAAAATAAATAAGCAATAAGCATGCTACCGAGGAGGAAGGTGTAGCTATTGTTTACCTGGTCAGAGAATTTAGATGGTGTGATGCTAACGGAAGCCTTCAGGCTAATATTTTAAATGCATATGTTTTTATATTAATTAAATATATATTCAGTTGCAGTTTGGTAAGAACCAGGATCGTCACGATTTGCGATAAAACACAGTCTGTACAGCTGACCCTATCCTAAAGTTTCTTTGAGCGAAATATTATCAAATTATACTCCTTTTTAAATCCTGATAGGCCATATTAAAGTGCACTGTTTGTACAAAAAAAAGCACCTCTGGACAATTCCAGAATAAAATGATAAGAGCTTATTATGACATTTTGTGATATTTCTGCTAGTATTAAACCGTGCTGGTTCACTGTCAGGGCTTATTGGGACATCGTTATTGTTATTGCTTCCAGCTGCACCTTCCTGCATTGAAAGTGCTCCTGGTTTTATGCTTCAGTGGCACAAACAATAGAAGTGAGTCATTAATATCATCTGGGGTTTTTTTTCTTACTTTTAAAAATCAGTCTTTTGTGCACATGTCACGGGAACTTTACAGTTATTTGGAGGATTACTGACAGCTGGTCAAAACAACATACTGAGATATGATTTGTGCAGCGCTGAAATTAGAATAAAAACTTCTGTAGGTTTAGGAAATGACACATCTAAATGAATCTTATGTGATTCTGTTTTTATCAAAGGTCTCAGTGTTACATGATGTTGAAATTATTATTTTCAAATTCAAACAATATAGTTTTTAGAAGTGTTGCTAAACGAGACAACCCCATTTTGTATACCCTTTGAAACCGCTGTAGTTTTTTTTAAAAATACATTTGCATACTGGCGCAGCTTTGGAAAAAAAACAACAGACCGGCCCGTTGGCTAACTTAAAAGACAGCTGTCTGTGTTTTATCCCTCATCTTTGCGGAAATACAGAAGTTGGTTAGCCTTTTAAAGAGGTTCGTGTGTGATTTAAGTGGTCGGATATCCTACATCAAGCTTCGCGCTATAGGTTTTGCGCATATATACGCAAAAGTAAGTCGAAGCTAACGCTAGCAAAACCTGATTTGTACATTGCATGTTTGTTTGTTTTTTTGTTTGTTTTTTTTTACTTGACCATAATCCCACCGTAGTTTGTTTCAACTGTCCGCTCCCTTTTCTTGCCCCGGAAGAGAACCCAGTTGTGTTTCCGGCTTTGTCTTTTCGTTTGGGCTCGGCAGGGAAGCTAAGCTAAGCTGCTAATTACGAGCCGACAGTCACGTCGGGGTCGCCTTTGTTCCCGCTGGTCCACTCGGAATGTTGGAGTTTCTCCGACAGCCTTGGCTTTGAGTGCCGTGAAACAAAGAAAAGAAACCACCACTAGTAGCATTGTTGTTTTTTGTTTTACTCTGGGTTGTGGCTGTTATCCAACACTATTGGAGAAATATGGCGGACGGCGGGCATTACTACAACGGTAAGAAGCCACGTTCACTGCAGGTTTAAACTTACTGCACTTTTAACGACCTTTCCACAGATCTTGGAGACTTTATGGTGAGGAGAGAGGTCAGAAGAACCGATTTCATGGTTCACGGAGGTAAAAATATGTCGAAGGCATCTCGGAGGTGTCATTTTGTGACACATGTTTACCCAGTACCACGCCATGAATATTTGTTTTATTTCGCTGGTAAAATGAGTCCAGAGAGTTACTGCAGAGATCAACAAGACCAGGGCTTGTCTTGGATATTTAAAGGACTTTTTAAAATGAGCATAATTTGCAAAAGTGTAGGCTTAATTAAAATCTGCTACAGAGTGCGTATTTAAAATTGTAAGCTTCCTTTAATGTTTACATTGCAATCTGTAACAGTCATTTGAGCTCTTTTCAGTCTTATCTAGTCCATGTACAGTAGCTGATTTTATTTAACTCATAACCTATGCTTTTTGGGGGGTTATTATTGCTTGTATTTTGTAGCTGAGATGTGATATTTAGGTTGTGAGCTAACTTACTTTCTCCGTTACAGAGCATGATGACAGAACCGCACCACAGTTTCGCAACCGTAAAGGCAGAGGCCCTCACAAGGGTCGGTATGACAGGTCTCGCAGAGACCGCCAGCGTGGAAACCACTCAGGAGGGTTTGGAGGTCCTGGACCACGGTCGAGGCTTGAAGATACTGATGGAGATGTAACTATGAGTGATGGCTGTCAGGACAGCAGCTCCCAGAACAGATTGTAAGTGTAATAAGTTACACTTTCATTTAATGCATTTGCTAGAGTTTGTCTGATAAACTTCTCACAGTAATACTTTAGTCTAAGTAAACAATTAATGGCTTTAAACTGAAAAGAACATTTGCACAATG